GAACATCTTGTACATGAAAATCATATCCCCCCTTAATCTCCCTAATTCCAGCGTAAACATGTTTAAGGTCAGAAGCCTTGTCTCATAGCTCTGGTCCTCCATTCCCCTAATTAGTTTTGTTGCCCTTCGCTGGACTCTCTCCAGTTCAAGGACATCCCTTCTCAGTACCGGCGACCAAAACTGGACCGCGTACTCCAGATGTGGCCAAACCAACGTTCTATATAGAGGCCCAATTATAGACTTGTCTCTGCAATACATCCCCTAGTTTATTAGCTGTTGCAATCTCTGGGTTCACAGAGGTCGGGGCTTGGGCACACCGGAAATGACACATTGTGTTGCCACCAAATCCGGTCTGGCATTGTGTGCGTCACAAAGGCCAGTTCACAGGAGTCGGCAATGTTTAAATAAGGGGAGTGAGGCAGCTGCACTTCTGCTGAAAAAGGGGGTAACCCCCAAAATGTGTGTTTAAGATGACACATTCCCCTCCTTCTCTAATTGTATTATTGTGGTAGGGCAGGGGTGCCCATAAGGTCGATCGCGATCTACCAGTCGATCGCATAGCGATCAGTGGTAGATCGTGATGGCCTCTCCTCCCGCCCGTGGTGCATCTGTATACAGCGGGGATCCGAGAAGTGAAAGAAGCGCTGCAGCCGTGGCGGAGGACGTAGCCGCTGTCACAGAACTAAGACCGAGCGGTGAGAAGAGAGAGAGACGCTCGTCCTCTCTCTCCCCTCACCGCTCAGCCTTAGTTCTGTGACAGCGGCTCCGCCCCCCGTGGCTGCAGCGCTTTTTTCACTTCTCCCCGGATCCGCCGCTGCTTCTGCCCGGGAGAGCAGCGCGGATCCAGAGGAGAAGCTGAGCCCCCCTGTGCGTGGCCAAGCTGCAGAGGATCGGTACATAACAGTGATATGTATCGATCCTCTGTGCAGGACAAACACTGGAGCGATCAGCTGATCACTCTAGTGTTTGTAAATAACTGGGGACACATAGTACTATGTGTCCCCAAATAAAAAGGAACAGGATGTGATTTACATCACTTCCTGTTCATTCATGAGTTTCTCAATGGGGAGTTTCACAAAGGAGCTGGCTACGGCTATGCTCCCGCGGCTGCCGGCTGAATGTGGCAGACGCTGCAGATGGAAAAGGGTGGTACACCTCTCCCCATGTGCAACATCGGCTACACGAGCAGCACAGGAGGACAGGACGCTGGGGCCTCTAGGACGCACTGGAAGCCGGCCGACTCCCTGCATTCAGGGGCGGGAGGGGGTATGTGGTTGTATTGAAGTCAATGGCACCGCAGCCATGCCCCCCTCCCACAGTGCGATCACCCGCACCCGGAAACGCAGGCACATTAGTGCCTGCATTGCGGTCCAGTGCGATCTGCAAAAATAGTGCTTGCAGCATTTTTCCGGATCGCACTGGACTGGAACGCAGGCACTAATGTGCCTGCGTTTCCGGGTGCGGGTGATCGCACTGTGGGAGGGGGGCATGGCTGCGGTGCCATTGACTTCAATACAACCACATACCCCCTCCCGCCCCTGAATGCAGGTGTTTTTTCGTTGGTAGATCTCATTGAGCTCATCATTTGAAAAGTAGATCTCCAGACGAAAAATTGTGGGTGCCCCTGCGCTAGGATATTTGCTTTTGCACGGGTTTCCTTTTATATGTACCTGGCTATGCAACTTTGTGTTACACTGTGTATAGTACATGTATGCTAGTTGTCTTTTGTTACGTACTACCTATTTGGCTCATTAAATGCATGTATACATTTCAGGTGTGCTAGCCCTGTGTTTTTTTTTATTTTGGTAAAATTGTGTTGGAACTCCTCATTGTCGGAACATGTCGTTACATAATAACACGTCATGTTGCTATCTCAGTTAACTGATCTCATGGCTTGTTAAATATTAGTTAAAACCCATCTATTATAGTCTTATATCTTTGATCAAATTAATGTAAGTTTATATGCAAAAGAATTTGGTGCAGGTGAGCACTGTGGGTATAAATCTGTGCTAGAGTGCAAGTTGCAGGCCTAATTAGGTGAAAACGCAAGTGATCCTAGACTGGAAAAGATGTCAGGCCAGTCCTACTTTTGGTGATGTCACGAGAAAGGGGAGGACATTACTGCTAGCAACATGTTAGGGTTTTTTGTTCATTAAAAGCCACGCCAACTCCTGGCTCACTCTAATTTTTAATCAAACCCCATAAAAACACTTGCTTAGTTGTATGTCCACACTTTGGTCAAATTTTATTTTGAAGTCTCCTCAGCCCTCCACGTCCTGTGATCATGCAGAGCACTCAGATCTCCTGTCCCCCAGTGATAACTTGAGCTTCTTAAAGGACCTCACTATCTTCATCTGCCAAAAAGTTAGTATAGGTAGCATCTCCTTGTGACGTATCTTACTAATAAGAGTAAAATCATTTAAAAATATGTAAATCTCTCACATAGTTGTCAGCATAACTAGCTCTTCATATTTCGTGTCACCAATTATCAAAGGATCAGTGCCTGACACTATGTGCTGGCAGTGCTACTTTTTTATAGCTTCATTCACATTTAACCTCATATTTTCCATTACAATGGATACAGATCTTTCTGTTGTACCAACATAATAGTGTCCCATGTAAGCTAATTATATGTCAAACCTAAAGGGATTGGGTATTTTTATATTGCTCTAAATTTTACTTTGTAATACCTATATTATTAATTTATATAGTTACATAGTATTTGAGGTTGAATAAAGACATTAGTCCATCAAGTCCAACCTATTAGGATCTCATTCTAGGAGTACCTGTACCCCTGTATATTACGGTCCCTTAAGAAATCGTCCAAAAGTTTCTTGAACAATTCCACATTCTTTGCTGAAATCACTGTCTGTGGCAGTGAGTTCCAGACCCTAACTGATCTTACTGTGAAGAACCCCCTTCGCCCCTTGTGCTGGAATTTTTTTTCCACCAATTTTAGGTGGTGGCCTCTAGTTTTTGTAATGGAGTTAATTTTAAACAGTTTATCGCTAATGTTGCTGCCACCATTGAACATTTTATCAATTCTTCCACACCCTTTATTTTGTTTCCTATGAATTACTTGCACACAGATTAGATCTATATTTATATTAAAACCTTTAGAATTCAGTGAGTTTCTTTGTAACGCCCTTCATTTAAAACTTATACCTCATCAGTGGTTCTCGACTTCAAAACGTTGAGATGGTATAGTGTGGGGTGATAAATAGGTTTTATGCCATAAATCCTAATGCTAGCCTTGAATATCATGGCGGGTGTGCCCTGCCTCCATCCTCATCATGGAATAACCCACTTTGCTGAAGGATCATAATTGGAAACCCCACTGGGTTTCATTTAGGAGCTCTAGCACAGCATGGATTTCTGTATGACGTGTACTACTACACTGTGTGCACAATTAGCAGGCAAGTTGCATTTTTGAGGATTAATTTCATTATTGAACTACAGTGCTCTCGGTCAATCCAAAATGTTGTTAAACCTGAATATTTAAGAAAGTAGAAGTGAGGTTTTGGCTTTCTTAGGAGAATATCTATGTGTGCACAATTATTGAGCAACTATTACTGTGCAGGATGCAACTAAATGGAAAACGAAAATTTTCCCATCTCACTTTTTTTTTCATCTGGTAAAGTGAGAATAATAAACAAACAACTCAAAATGTACAAATTAACATTTTTGACATTTTCAAAAATGAAATCAGTGACTGATATAGCCCACCTGCTTTTCAATAACAATCAGAAGCCTTCCATCCATGGAGCCTGTCAATTTCCTGATCTGTTGACGATCAACTTTTTGTGCAGCAGCAACCACAGCTTCCCAGACAAAGAGTACGGTTTTCCTTCACCGTAAATCTCCCATTTAAGAAAGGCCTACAAGTTCTCAATAGGGTTTAGGTCAGGTGAGGAAGGGGGCCATGTCATTATTCTTACATCTTTAAGGCCTTTACTGGCTAGCCACGCAGTGGAGTACTTTGATGCATGAGATGGAGCATTGTCCTGCATAAATATCATGGTCTTCTTGAAAGATGCAGACTTTTTCCTGTACCACTGCTTGAAGAAAGTGTCTTCTAAAAACTGGCAATAAGTTTGGGAGTTGATTTTGAGCCTATCTTCAACCTGAAAAGGTCCAACTAGCTCATCTTTAATAATACCAGCCCATACCAGTACCCCACCTCCACCTTGCTGGTGTCTGTGTCAAAGTGGAATTCTGTGCTCATTACTGATCCAGCAACGGGCCCATCCATCTGGCCCGTCGAGTCACTCATCTCATCAGTCCGTAAAAGCTTTAAAAAATCGGTCTTCAGATATTTTTTGGCCCAGTCTTGACGTTACAACTTGTGTCTTGTTCAGTGGTGGTCGGTTTTCTGCCTTTCGTACCCTGGCCATGTCTCTGAGCACTGAACACCTTGTATTTCTGGGCACTCCAGGTTGCAGTTCTGGAATATGACAGCACTGGAGGATAATGAGTTCCTGGTAGCTCCACGTTTTATTCTTCTCAAATCTATGGCAATTTGTGTCTTTCTTCCTCAACACGTTTCTTGCGCCCCTGTTGACTATTTGCAACAAAATGTTTGATGGTTCTGTGATCATTCCCCAATATCTTAGCAATTTCAAGAATGCTGCATCCCTCTGAAAGACTTTTTACAATTTTTGACTTTTCGGAGTCAGTTAAATTTCTTTTTTGGCCCATTTTGCCTTAAGAAAAGAATCATTATGCACACCTTGATATAGGGTGCTGATCTCCTAAGGCCACACCCTCCCTCATTACACAAATACACATCACCTGATATGCTTAAATCCAATATGCCTTCAAACTTGTACAGCTTGGAGTTGGACAATATGCATACAAACGGTGATTTGGTCAAAATACTCACTTGCCTAATAATTGTGCACACAGTGTAGATGTGTGTTTCCCACATCATTAACTTTTAAAAAATCTGACATTTTTTTTAAGGTTTAAATTGCCTTCTTTGTCTACTTTAAATATTTTAGGCATCCTACAGGAGGTTCTTTTATTAGGCCAAAGAAAGCAAATTTTGGTGTCAGTTTCTTAAGTGCATTGATTAAGCGATATGGCACGAATGAAGAATGGAATGAAAAAATGGTGGTTGGAAAAAAACATGTGGAACTTGTTGGGTTTGAATCTATTCTAGAAGAACAAAGGTATGTTTTTCTAATTTTATACCGTGTTTTTTGTGTTTGTTGAATTATTAAAGTATTGTTATATTTTATGGGGTTAAAAATTTGTTTTTGTTTGTAATATTTCTTTAACATTTTTTAATGCCTGGTTGACAAACCTGCAGACCTCAAAATGTATGTAAAGCCATGCTGCTTTTTTTTCTTCTTTTTTAGTTTTGGATAGAGTAGGGAATGGGTAATACTCTTGTAATTTTTTTTTTTATACATTTGTGTCCCGTTGGGGAGACTTTCTTTCTGCTAGAGCTTAATAGCCCGACATACCATTTACCAGTTCACTGTGTATGTGGTAAGCAAAAGTAAAATAACACTCCTACTGATTAAAAAGTAATTTTTTGGTGAAATCTTTTGTTGAATATTGAGCAAAATCATCGATACATATACCCCTAAGTTATAAATATTTACAGATACTGTATTTAACAGATGTGATGTTGAAAATAGATATATAAGTTGAACTGCAGGAAGCTAAAGTTCTTTTTAAAACTAAAGAAATTTAAGAATTTGGTTAAGGTACCTAAAGTGCATAGTGCTAAATATGTATGGAGTGTATTCAATTAGCGTATCTAAACCCAAACTAAAAATAGAATACATTGCAGCTTGCCCATCCTTCATGGTAGCGCTTGCATGAATTTTTTTTAGGGTGCTCCTTTATTTTTATCCTGTGATACAGCCAGTAATCCTCCACCCTATTTATGCATTAGCAACATAGCTGCCCTTAGACAGCAGCATTGTCAGTCTGAGGGAGAGGGTGTTGTTAGATGCAGTGGTGTATTTTGGTTTTGTGCTCCTCTAGGAAACACTAAACTTGGGCACCCCTCCAATCTAAATTTGCCTCAACCTTTCCTGTTTGACATTTTGCCTAACCTGTACGCTGTATCCAGCTTCTGACAGGTTGTGCTATTAGCAATGCAGAATACCACCGGCTATAGAGAACTACAAATCCCAGCAATACATTATACAGGAATGCAGAATAATATGAAGCTACATACTCTGTACATACTTGGGGTGGCAGCCTCATGTCTCCAGGGTCTCAGGTGGGCTGTGCATGGTCTCACCAGAACTGTGCGGGCTCTCAGGTGGGGAGGAAGTTGAAAATAACAGGCTTACTGGCAGGTAAAACAGGTAATAAAAATACAGTCGTGTGAAAATGAAACTACACCCTCTTTGAATTCTATGGTTTTAAGTATCAGGACATATTAAACATTATTAGGTCATTAGCAGGTCTATAAATACGGCAAATATAACCTCAGATGAAAAACACATGACATATTATACCTTGTCATTATTTATTTTACAAACATAAAGCCAAAATGGAGAAGTTATGTGTCAAAAACTAAGTACACCATATGATAAATACCTTGAAAAACCACATTTAGCAGCAATAACTCGAGGTTATTGTTTTGTGTATGACTTCATCAGTCTCTCACATCGTTGTGGAGTAATTTTGTCCCACTCTTCTTTATAATGTTGCTTCAGTTCATTGAGGTTTGCAGGCATTTGTTTATGCACAGCTCTCCTAAGGTCCCATCGCAGCATTTTAATCGAGTTGAGTTCTGGACTTTGACTGGGCAATTGCAACACCTTAATTAGTTTATTTTCAGCCATTCTGTTGTAGATTTGTTGGTGTGCTTGGGATCATTGTTCTGTTGCATGACTCAATTTAGGCCAAGCTTTAGTTTTTGGACACATGACCTTACATTTGACTCTAGAATACTTTGACATACAAAGGAGTTCATGGTCGACTCAATTACTTCAAGGTGTCCAGGTCCTGTGGTTGCAAAACAAGCCCAAATCATCTCCCCTCCACCACCATGCTTGAGAGTTGGTATGAGGTGTTTGTGTGGATATGCTGTGTTTGGGTTTTGCCAAACCTTGTGCTGTGCATTATGGCCAAATATCTCTACTTTGGTCTCATCTGTCCACATGACATTGTTACGGAAGTCTTGCTGTTTGTTCAGATGCAAGTTTGCTAATCTAAGCCGTGCTGCCATGTTCCTTTTAAGGAGAAGAGGTTTTCTCCTGGCAACCCTTCCACACTTATCACAGTTCTTTTTACAGTCTTTTTTATAAATGTACTGTCATTAACTTTAACATTTAACATGCTCACTGAAGCCTGTCGAGTCTGAAATGTAACTCTTGGTTTTTTTGCAGTTTCTTTGAGCATTGCACGGTCTGACCTTGAGGTCTGACCTTGAGATGAAGTTGCTGGGACGTCCACTCTTGGGAAGATTGGAAACTGTATTGAATGTTTTTTACTTGTGAATAATCTTCCTCACAGTATAATAATGAAATTTAAATTGTTTAGAAATGGCCCTCTAACCCAGATTGATGGTCAGCAAAAATTGTTTCTCCAAGATCACTGCTGATGTCTCTCCTCCTTGGCATTCTGTTAACACACACCTGAATTTTCCAGAGCAGCAAACTTCTAAGGGCCGGTTCACACCACAAACAGTGCGCTCCAGAGCTCTCAGGCTCTGGAATACTCTGTCGCACTCCAGCTGGCTCCCTGCATTCAGGGGCGGGAGGGGGCGTGGAGGTGCATTGAAGTCAATGGTACCGCAGCCCACATTAATGCCTGCGTTCCGGTCTAGTGCTTTCTACAAAAATGCTGCAAACACAATTTTTACAGATCACACTGGACCGGAAACGCAGGCACTAATGTGCTACACGTTCGTGTATCGCGATTGCACTGTGGGTGGGGGTGTGGCTGTGGTGCCTTTTGACTTCAATGCACTGCCACGCCCCCTCCTGCCCCTGAATGCAGGGAGACGGGCGAAGTGCGATACAGTGCGTTCCAGAGCCTGACTGCTCTGGAACACTCTGTTTGTGGTGTGAACCTGCCCTAAAACTTTGGCTTTTATAGAGGCGGTCACACTTATGATCAGTTAATTAAGGGCAGTTGATTAGCAGCACCTGGCTGCCACTTAGCTTCTTAATTCTATGAAAGCAGTAAGGGCGTACTTAGTTTTTCACACATAACTTCTCCATTTTGGCTTTGTTTGTAAAATAATGATGTGTTGTAATATGTCATGTGTTGTTCATCTAAGGTTGTATTTACCTAATTTTAAGACCTGCTAAGGACCAGATAATTTCACACGACTGTATGCTACAGGAGCAGTGGCGTAACCAGAGTTATGGGCGCCCGGGGCAGACATTTTTTTTTCGCCCCCCCCCCCCCCC